TGCTTTCGGATTTTTCCTCTTTGATGTTCTGTAGATGTTTAAGGTGCAGTCCTTCACTGAACTTTCACTCTAAAAAAATTTCTTGTTTAATATTTTAGATCATTATTATTTGTAGATAATAATTATTATCCTTCATTCTGACCAATAGTCAAAAATATATATGCTTTCTAGTTTTGTTGCTCATTCAGCAGAGGCAGATGCTGCAGAGATATTTCATTGTAAAGTGATTGCTTAAACCAGCGTGTGATCATGTTTCTTAGCTACTTGATCTTGTTCTTCAAATACAGATTTTAGTTACTAATGTTTGCTGTGTTCAAAGGCTACTGTTAGTAATGTTTGGCAGACTTTCTGATTTTACTGGTCAAAACTCATCTTGACCGCTTAATTGCCTTACTTTCAACAAGAACGTTATCTGTTATCTAAATAACACATATGACACATAGGGCCACACTCACATGGCAGTTGTCTTGCTCGCTACTGTTGGGAGTCAGACTTTAAGAACCCAGTCCTATGAAGTGCTGATCCACTGAGCATTTGTGGGAAGCCAGGGCAGTTGGTGTCTCGTGGCACTGGTGTGGGGAGGAAGGAATGAGCGTTATGGAAGGTTTCTCACAGGTAACCTGCAGTCAGCCTGCTCTTCTGTTCCAACTTGCACAAACCGTACAGTTATAATCCTGATTCTTTCTTGAAATCCTGCCAATCATTCCAGCTTCTGAAGTGATTGTGATGCTGGCAGGTATCCAGAAATAGAAAACCAATGCTTGAATTTTTGTTTAAGGCTTTCTGAGAAAAAAAACAAAACAAAAAAACAAAAAAAAAACCTCCAGAAAACATTTTATGCAATTGACTGCTCAAGTCAACTGAACCGACTGTACAAAGTAGCTTGGCAAACAAACAAAGGAGAGAAATAGCTTAATGCAGCATTACTGCATTGAAGCAATCTGGGTATTTTCCTGGCTTAACTGGTTAGGTTGTTTGCTGTTGCATGTAATTCCTCAGGTTGTAGGAACTCATTTTGTCAGACACAGATGACTTTCTTAGTTCCTACAAAGAGAATGCAAAATGAGAAAACGAAGAATTTAATAGACCTTTGTCATTGAGCTATCTGACACTGCATTATTTGGTATTTAGAGGTAGACAACTAGCGCTAATACCAGGAACCAAATAAAAGACAGAAAGGGTCAGAATGGATCATTCTGTACAGACAATTAATTTACGTTCCAGAGCTTGATAGCTGTTTACTTTTTGAGATGTCGGAGAGCTGACTGTTTTAAGAAACAGGGAGATACAAGACTTAAACTGAAACTTAAAAATTTTTTTCAGTGAGACTGCTGCTGTGGAAAGACAAGCTTCCTTGACCAGTCTTTTTCTGTTACTTCATCATTCATTTCTTCATGTCTGTTCTGGTTCATTTAGGTTTTTTCTTGTGAAGTGTTAAATAGCACGTTACCTGTATTACATTTATTTAGTTAACTGAGATTTCTTTTTCCAAAGTTGCGTAATTAGGGGGGTTTGGTGGGGCTTTTTGTTTGGCGTTTTGTTTTGGGTTTTTTTAATCTAGCAACTGTAATTTGACAGAATGGTTTTGAATGGTTTTCAGTGCAAGCACTTTTACAGGCTATGATAATCTTGCGGGCTAGCTATGAATTTGGCACTTTGGCAGACTCCCAGCTTACCTTTTAACCTCCCATCTGTACTTAATGGGAGTCATGTTGCTGTTGTTTTAGCTTCTTCCAAATTTCTTTTGAAACTTTGGTGCATTTTGTATTTGTGATAGTAAAAATCTACTGGTATTAAATTCCATTATTGCATGAGTAATTAAGCTTATGTCCTCAGTGCCTCCAACAGGGTTTTGAAGAAGCTTAAAGGCTTCACTCCTTTGTTCTTGCTTGATGAAGGGGTCCCAGATGTTTTTCTTCTGTGAAGTACGATTACAGTTTGGTAAATGGTAAGAAAGTTATATTGACTTGTGCTTTTACAGGTAGGCTTAAAATTTCATTATCAGTCTTTACAGGTAGTCAGAATTTAATATTTAGACTCTTCCTGTTTTTATCTTTGCTCAGTTTGTTCATTCTCTTTTTCCACTGTCAAGTTAATTTTTTACTGCTAATTTCTGTGTCTTACACAAATCTTCAAGGAAATAAAGACAGTAGTGAGTATCCTGTCCATCGCCATTATGTGGTGGGTTGCTGTTAGTGTTTTATTACTGTTGTGATTTCTCTTAGCTTAGGAGTTTCTTGGGTTAACAACTATATCTCCATTCATTTCCATGACTAGCATATGGGTGGCATTAAATGCAATTTAATTTTAGATCCTAACAGCTCCAGTGTGTCACCTGCCTGCACTGGAAAGTCCTGCTACTGGGATTAGTGTTAAGATAACATACAGGAGTCTTCTGATGATCACTTACCACTCCGAATTCAGGTGGATACAGTTTTCTGAGCAGCCTCTTAAATTTCATCAGTTTCTGTCGTGCCCAGAGAGGTTGTGGAATCTCCCTCCCTGGAGATATTCAAAAACCATCTGGACAAAATCCTGGTTCATGTGCTCTAGGAGTCCCTGCCTGAGCAAGGTGTTTGGACTAGATGACGTTCAGGAGTCCCTTCCAACCTCAACCATTCTGTGATTCTGTAATTGTTTGTATTATTACCTTCTTCCTAACAGTCTGTTGTGATGGTGGTTGGAAGTGGTTCCCAGATTACATCAAATATAATTATATTTTGATTTCTTTATCTGAACATCTTGACTTTTTGAAATACAACTTTTGTTCTTCCTTAGCTTGGGAACGTCCAAGACAACACTGCATTTGGAAGGTTACAAGCTTGTTTCCTTCTCCCATCTGCAAGAGCACATTCTTGCACTTGATCATATTCTGCCTGGTGATGTTATAGTCTTGTCTTAATGCAGGTCTTTTGATTGTAACACTTGTATTTCACTGGAAGAGCAGTTTTGGGAAGGCACATGAGTGAGGAGCTTTATTTTGCCTAATTGACTTCTTTAGGGGGCACAGAGCTGTTGATACCTGTTTACACTTCCATGATGTTGGACAATTATTGTAAATCACTTCCCAGGGATAGGAAGAGGTGGTTATTTAAGGAGTTAGATGGTTAGATGTAGGGTATTATGTTGTAGAGTCAGCTGGATCTTGGGTTGTTTAGGAATTAATAAAAAGAATTACCTTAAGGAATGATAAAATATATAGTCTGCTGCAAGGGGCATTATGTGGAGGACCTACAAGAGCAGCGTAACTGATCTGGAGGTAGCAAAGTCTGGTGTAGGGCGTATTGGTTGCAACAAACGTTTCTCCAGCTCGTATATACTTCAGCTGTATAAACCATATCTGATAAAGCTAGTTTATGTGGGAGACAGTGGATTTACAGTTGGTGAGGTAAATCTGACTTTGTTTTGCTGTGTCAGACTTCTTGTACATCCACAAACCTCTTTGTAACATTTACACAGCACAACCGATCTCTACATGCACAGTACGGCATCCAGTGCCTCCAAGAAGTATCTGATTTACTGTACAGATGTACAATGATTATTCAGACCTTGAGTAGTAAGTCCGTGTGTCCCAAAAATACCTGATTTTTATGCTGTCCTGTGCACATGCCTGAGAAATGTTAGATACAGGTGAGCCAGCACGTTTAAAAATTTTGAACAAGTGTCAAAAGAAAGAAAAAAAATAATAATAAAATCCACCTACTGAAATTGGGGTGATAGGGAGAAAATAACATTTCTGGGGGAATCCCTGCATACTGTAGCCTGAGACATGTCCATAAAAACTCTTACCATAATGTCGCCTTGGGAGGGTTGCTTGATCATTTAACGTGTGTGAATGCTTCCACCATGTTACGGTGTCTGTGATTCTGAGGTCTGGGGGCTGATAGTGAGACATTTCTCTGAAAAAAACCCTCAGAGTAAGATGAAGACTTTTCATCCCTCAGGTGGAATTTGTTGGCATAAAGGATTTTTGTAACAAAACCTGATCTTTTAATAAGCTTTTGGGGTGAAAATTGTTTACAGAGGATGGCATGGAATTTTATTCCTCTATCTGATTTAGAACTTGCCTACACACACCTTTTATCTCATCAATTCCACCAATGGAAATGTCTCTAATTCTTGTAGGAAAAAGGTTCTGATCGGAAAGTGTCTACACGGAGTCACCTAAGGACATGTGTTCTGCCCCTGTTTCTCACCTCTGTATGCAGTCATACGTACAATGCCTTCATTTATCACTGTGTATTTTTAATACATGACAGAGGTACCTAAAGCCTAGACAGAGGTATAAAAATAAAATGGTCCATGCAATATAAGTGGGGTTTTTTTATTTTGTTTTATGTTTGTTTTATTATTTATATGTGATAAAATGTTTTTAATTGTGGGGCTTTATTTATGCAAGTGAGGGTTCTTTTATGCATTGACTTCCTAGATTCTTTTAGAGTTTAGTCTAAGGCAAGTGGCAGGTAAGTTAAACGGTACCTAGCACCCATTGTGTTGGAGCATGCAGTAACCATCTTTAAGGTCACTTCCAACCCAAACCATTCTGTGATTCTGTGATATATTTAGAAAATGTGCAAATGGCAAGACAGGAAAGGTGGATATCCCTTTCTCAACCTGTTTTTTACCTCACCCAGTTTAATAACTGAAGAATTGTGTATTTTTGGCACAAAGACATTTGTACAAGTGATCAGAGACAGATGCTAAGATGTGTTGTTTAACAATGAATGCAAAATATTCCTGTGGGATTATTTTTGAGCAAGTTTAAACTGCAGAAAATAATGCTTCCAACAATGAGAGCATTGGTTTTTATCCCTCTTATTGCCATTTGAACTTTGAATTGCTAGTATACATTAAGAATCCAGTTGAAAATAATCCAGGTTTGAAAGTACCTATTAATTCAAGCCATATGACAGATTATGGATAAATTGATACTCCTAACTTTGTGCTAAAGCAAATATGGAGAATGGCTTCATTAGACATTGCTGACCTTTTTATTTCAGGGACCTGAAACTGGACAATATTCTTCTGGATGCAGAGGGCCACTGTAAACTGGCTGACTTTGGGATGTGCAAAGAAGGGATTCTGAATGGAGTGACCACCACAACCTTTTGTGGCACACCTGACTATATAGCTCCAGAGGTATTTTTTTGAACTGCACTAAGAATACAGATGCTATAATTCCTCAGACTGCTACATATGTAATTTAAGAAACTTTTTACATGTAGATGAAAAAAGTAGAAGATGCAGACTAGACTGTGCTGCAGCTTTTCCTGGATAATTTTGCAGAAATTGCTTGCTTTACTGCTCGCAAGGAGTGTTGCATGTTGACAGGAGTGGCAAAGCATGGTTTTTCTGTTATTCCTTCCTTGAACTTAACTTAACCATATTTTTCTTTTCCATACGCTCATTTCTGACTCAGAATCATTGTGAAGGCACTTACTCGCCTTTAAGGTGCTAGATGCAACTAAGTACTGCCAACACTGGTCTTTAGTAATTATAAAAATGTTTTCAATTTTTTATGAGACTTAGAAGGGAACTTTCATAAGGAAGAGATCATATGTTTGGTGTCATTTTGCCTAGGGTCTTTATGGGAATATTATTTTTTTTCCTTTCTTTAAAGTAACTGTGAGTGAAAGATACTATGTTTGTGGTACTTCTCATCATATGGATGAACAGAAAGTATAGGTTTACATAGAAAAGTAGGAACTTTTCATATGGATGTTGCACTTTGGCAACATCCAAAGTCATTTCAAGGCATTAATTGGATAAAATAAATGACTGAGAATCATGTTAATTTTACATATTCTAAATTTTAATATTGTGAGATGCATTTCCAAGTGCCTAAAATTAAACCATTTTTTGCAGTTACTCTGCTAGGCAGGCTTTGTCTGCTCAGTTTAGTTAGCAACTTGTGCATCTTTCTGCTGAAGATTCAGTGTGCTGGTTTAATGTAAAAGTTTCATTAGTTTGTCTTTCATCAACCATGAATTTGCAGCAGGGAAAAATGTTAGTTTACTATTTATTAGAGACAATAAATTAGAAATCCATATTGTTAGTATTCATGGCTGTCAATCTTTTGTAGCACAACTGATAAGGTGTGAAACTATCATAACATAAATGTGTGTTTTATGGAGTTTGAAAAGTATTCTGGTATTTAAAAGAAAAAAAGTATTTAAAAGAAAACAAATGCCAGTGTAAAAGTATTTAAAATAAAATAAATGCCAGTGTCATGGGTTTGGTTTTGGATGAATTCTTTTCTGATTTAGTATACTAATTGAGTCCTTTAGCAAATACTTTGAAAATTATTACTGAAAACAAAGCAGTAATAAGATCCCAGGAACTTTTACGTGAAATCCTGGTCTCACTGAAGTCAGTAACTCAGGCTTCCGTTTTGTCATCTTAATTGCAGAAGTTTATCTCCTGCTTCTATTTCTCTTGCATCATAGTGGTATGTTTCAATTTCCTTTTCTTTAGCAATATCTGAGTTCCAAAGAATGCACTTATGAAGAGTATCGTTTTCTGTAATTAATGTCTTTAAAAGGTAATATCCATTCAACTAAGAATCCAATTGGGATCCAGACCTTTGTATTGAAATGTTAAACTCATTTCTGGTTTTATGTTAAGACTTAATTTGGTTTTGTATTGGTCATGATTCCCAAATACAGCGCTAAGCTCATGCGGTTCACAACAAGGCTTCTGACTGCAACACCAGTGTTGTTTAAGGAGGTGGTGGAGATGTTGCCATTCCAACTCATTTTGCAGCAGTCAGCTTCACCTTAAACAGTCACCTGCCCTACTTTCCCCAGTCCCCTGTCATGCTGAAACATTACAGCCAAACTGCAAGCTTCTTTACAGTGTAGAGGAGCCAAGAATTAAACTTAGTCCTTGTAAAACACTAGTTCTGTAACATCAAGTACAATACAATAAAACTCCATCATGCTAACCTACTACTCCCCATTAAAGGTATTTGCTACAAGGTTGAACTTGTGCCACGTGAAAAGCTGTAGCCAGTTTTTCTGAAAGCAGAGCCAACTAAAGTCCTACAGCCATGTATTGTACAGTGTTTTAATGCTGTAAAGAGAACTTGAACAAAAATGCTTTTGGCTTCCTTCTGCCCTACCTAAAGGACTAGAATAAATCTCTCGGATGTTTGCAGCATTACAAGCTGGTTCAGTTTGTTTTGCTCAAGATAGAGACACGGAAATGTTTCACATTTTCCACCAATCTGTTTTGTATATGTGATCTTTTTTCCCTTATAGCATGACCTGCTTTAAACAATTTGGAAGGATATACAGCTCTTTTGTTCACAAGCATACTCTTTTACTCAGGGGACTGATAAACTCAGTCTGTACTTCTGAGAATAACTACACATTGACACTTAGCTGTGTTAGTGCAAATTGCATGGGTAAGAAACCATGCCTGCTGTTACCGAAATCAGTGGGGGATTTAGTCCTACTCAGGCACAGGGGGAAAGAAGTTGTGTATTATGTTGAAACAGTAAATGTGCAACCGAGTGTGTTGTCTAACTTGTTCATTCAATGCAATCTCTTTTTCTATACTAGATCCTCCAGGAGTTAGAGTATGGCCCATCAGTAGACTGGTGGGCTCTGGGTGTTCTCATGTATGAAATGATGGCTGGGCAACCCCCCTTTGAAGCTGACAATGAAGATGATCTGTTTGAATCCATCCTTCACGATGACGTCTTGTATCCAGTCTGGCTCAGTAAAGAAGCCGTCAGCATCTTAAAAGCAGTGAGTCTTCCATTACTTGCTTTCCTCCTCCTCCTTCTGGTTGGTGGGGTTTGTTGGGGTTTTTTTTGGAATGGATTTTTGGGGGTTTTTTCCTTGATTAAAATTGAATTTGCTGAAAGTTGTTGAGAGCAGTCACCACTGGGAGTTCAAGCACAGTTCAGAATGCCACTGTTAGGATAATGGGGCCTGGGATAAATTACACCGCTTGTGGGAAAGGAACAGAATGTTTGTATTCCACGCAGTTGTACACTGTATAAATCTGTGTACCACAGATTCATGTTTCAGGGAAAACCCAACCAACTAGAACTGTGCTATCGCTTTGACACTTTGTATGCCACATGTTTACTAGAGTGAGGGAAGCAGTATATAATTAAAAAAATGTTTTTATTTAACCACTTATAAAATTTCCTGTCCCTCTGCCTTTCTTCCCCTATCATCAAGATGTGTTGAAAGCCCTTAATTTACAGCTGCATGTTCTATTTTATAGTTCACATAACACTTTGATAAGCAGTCTTACTCTAGTGTAATTATATTTGCCCTGGTTGGTGTTTTTCAATATGAGTAATGACTTGACAGTAATGTGTGTCACCAAATGCCACAATGTTTTTAATGCATCAAAATGTGCCACTGAGCAACTTCGGTTTTTAGACTTTCTAAAGTCAGGTTTCCTTCATTAATGTGACACTGACATAAATTCTTTCTTTTGTGCCGTTATCATCCTAAAATAAAAAGCAAAACAAACAGAAGCAGTATGCTAATCCACATAGTTTGAAAGCCTGAGGAGGATTTCTGGCTTTAAAAAATAACTGTTTTTTTTATTCCAGTTTTCTATCTTCTGTGAAAGTTTCTACCTTTCCGCTTCTGTTTTTCTTTCAACATTTGAAATAAGGGAGATTTTCAATTAAGAGGGTAGCTGGTAAGGTCCTGCAAACATCTTCATAAGGGGTTACATTTTGAAATTATATATAAAAGTTGAACAAATTCTGATTTTAACACCAGTGGACAGGCAACACACTCTGGTTTTTAAATAAAAATGTCTTTAGGCTCATTTTAGCAGAGAGGTGCTCTAGCAGATGATTCAAAGCAGAAGTCAAAGTTAATCTCTCAGAATTATTTGCTGGAGTCTCTCTTTTGCTCCATTCACTGTAGTGAGAACACAGAGGATTTATTAAATCTGACCTTTATACATATTCTCCATTATCCCCCCAGGTACCTCTCTGATGACTTCTTATTAGCTGACATGATACTTTCATCCATCCATTTTTGTTCCCAGACCCTTCAGTTATTTTCAGTTCACCAATTAAAGTGTATGGACATCAGCTGCAGAATTCAGACTGATATCTAGGATTCAGGGGTTATTTTGGCATACTGTAGAGAAATAATTGTTGTCAGCGTTCATATCTGCATCTGAATTTCACTGAAGTTTGTGAAATGTTCTGTAGTGGTTTAGTTTCACAGTCTGTAAGATGTGTTCCTTTGCAATCCACAGGTTCCTCCAGTGAAACTACGTTAACTGACCTTTCTATTATTCTGAACTGTGGAAACTTTTGTTGGAGGGGAAAAGTTAACTGATAACTATTGGTTAAGTGTGTAGTACAAGAGCCATTGTAACTATTAGGAGATGTTTGTTTTACAGAGAAAAGGGAGAAACAGATTTGACAGTCAGAGCGTCGCTGTTACCTCATTTGTGGTGCAAGTAGGGAGAAGTTTAACTGTTTATGTTATACATGTCATTAACCACACACAAATTCAGACACAGAATTGGGCTGCAGGTGTAAAGTATGTATTTTTGTGAATGTAAGTGCAAGAATGTTAAGCCCTCTCATTTCTTTTAAAGCTGACTTTGCTATAATTTTTTATGAAGCTGCTTTCCTGGGTGAACATTTTGATAGGCAGGCATAATGGTTTGTATTTTGCTGTAGTTATAGCATTTTTTTTTTTAAGTCTTTCTGTCTAAAGTTAATTCTTAATATCATTGTAAACCTTAAAAATTCCATCCATTAAATAGATTTGCACTATAATAATAAATTATTCCTCAATGGGCAAGATGTCTTCGTTGGCTTAAATTGATAGAATTTAATGGAGCTGTGCCAGTTTATACCATAAAAAGAAAACATTTCCTTACATTTAGCAACCTGCTGGCTATACAGTTACGGTGTTAAACATGTTTGAAACTTGTGTTCCTCATCTCGTCCTTGTCCGCATTCTGTTAAATGAAGAACAGGAAAAACAGAGGAAAGAAAGAGGCGTCTATGTATTTTACTGCTGAATGGTAGCAAGGGATTAACTTTGGAATGCTACATTTCCTCACATTGTGCTTTGAGATATGGGTTTTATTCTTTAGAACTCTATATTTTTACGCTCCTGCAAACAGCATGTTAGGAAAGTTTATTGAGAAGGTGTTCTCTTATATTAAGTAACAATGTTTTGTTATTTTCTGAAGAAAGTTTTCCTATTATTTCCAGCAAAACACTAAGGAGGATGATTTTACAGATCAATATTACAAGGCAGCATGTTGCTTGTCCCATGAAATCCCACAGATCTTATTAGTCCTGTTTCTGTGAATTGACAGGAATTGCTATTTAAAATTCTTTCCTGTCTGGTAAGGAAAACAATTCTTCATTGAAATTAGCTCTGTGCTGCTTTGCAAGCAATGGAAAGAGGTTGTGTCTACAGTGTGTGTTCCCTGTGTACCCAGATGACAGAGATCTCTGGGTACAGAAGCAGCACTCTATTTTTAGGCTGTTCCATTTATTTCAAGAACCAAAATTTTGGGAACCCGATGATCCTTGAATTGGGCCCCGAGTTGCATGGCTATCTCAGCAACCTTTTGTCCTGTTGTTTTTTATGTCAATAGGAACTGTGATCTTAAAAAAACTTATTTTTTCATAAAAGGAGGTTCCTGCCTTAATATGGGAAAATAAAAAGGCAACACTTACAGCTATGGCTGTCAGCTCCATTGGCAACCATCTCATCAGCACAGTACAGTTAACAGCGGTCTCTGCCCAGACAGCTGCATCATTGTTGATGCTGTTGATAAACAGGGAATGAATGTCAGCTTGTGCTTCAGAAATAGAAGGTGAAAAAAAATCAGTATTTATTGCAGGGGCTGAAATTTATAGAATTAAATGTCCACTTCAGAAGTCTGAGATTATTTCATCATATTTGCATATGGCAATTTTATTTGTTTGTTTTAGGTATCCATTCTTAAAATTTGTTCTTCCTCCTCATCCATTTCCAAGTTTCATGCAGTTTGTGAAGTACAGTACTGAACTGTACTATCTAGTCTTATTTTCATGTCCTGGGCTTCTTAAAAATGACATGTTCTGATGTTTTCCCTACCTCTGGCTTAAAACAAAGATAGAGCCTGGCAGATACTAGGATCGGATTTTACTTCTTTGATACATGGATTATATGGTACAAAAAGTGTGTCCTGTAGTTTCCGTGTTCTGTTTCTGCAAAATGTGTGGCTGCTGGTTCCTGGCCTGCTTGCTCCAGTCCTGGAGGTGAAATAAAGCAGAGGAATACAGGAATGCATTTTGTGGTTTTCCAAGAGACCTCACCAAAGCACAGTAATCCTTTCAAAACCTTTGTTTCTCCTGCCCATAGAAAATATGGGCTGTAGTTTAGATATGACTGGTCCACTTCCAAAACAACTTACGGAGCAGTTGAACACAAGACCAAAGAGAAGGATTGTAGGATTGTCTTTGGAGCAGCGTGTATATGTCAGAAACCACACAGAGAATTGCCTTGCTGATCTATGTTATATCTTTAAAATGATAGCAATGGTATTCTCCTGTGGAGGGTTGATCTAGCTATCTAAAACCATCTTAAGGGCTTCAGTGGCTACTTATCTAGTAACTGGAGTACTGAAGCAAGGGTATGCATTATAGTGATTTATTTTTTGTAAGTTTTCTTTTTTTTTCCTGTAGATGTATAGTATAATGTGGTACCCAGCTTAAAAAGACACTGAACAATCATCGCATTTTGTTTCATTTGTATGGGGTTTTTTTTAATTTAAAAAAATGTTAATTTAAAAAAAATTAAATAATGGCTGAATATGAAGTTATAGCAAAGCTTGGGATAATTTTATAATGAGTGTGCGTGTGTGTATAAGAACAGCAGTCGTTGGTACTTGAATTACAAGGATTCTGTGTCCACATGCATTAGGAAGTAAGTAGAGCAGTTGCTAATAAAAGAAGGAAGAAATAACAGAGCAAAAAATGGAATATTGCCATAATTTGATATCAGTATCTTACACTGTTTGTACAGCTTTTTGATGGAAGGAATAGTAAGAATTTAAGAGTTAGAAGTTTAGAAATTACCACACTAGAGGAGACCAGTTAGTTGTTGGTGGTGCCACTAATAGTGCACTAAAGATGAAAGGGAAGGTGAAAGTTATGTTGTGGAGTTTCTCAAGGGCAGCTTTCTCCTGGTACTGATCAGTCCCTGTATTTCACAGAATCACAGAATCACAGAATGTTGGGGATTCGAAGGGACCTCGAAAGATCATCTAGTCCAATACCCCTGCCGGAGCAGGAAACTAAATGAAATTACACAGGAAGGCATCCAGGCGGGTCTTGAATGTCTCCAGAGAAGGAGACTCCACAACCTCCCTGGGCAGCCTATTCCAGGGCTCTGTCACCCTCACTGTAAAGTAGTTTTTTCTCAAGTTTAAGCGGAACCTCCTGTGTTCCAGCTCACACCCATTGCTCCTTGTCCTATCGTTGGGCATCACTGAGAAGAGCCTGGCTCCATTCTCATGACACTCACCCTTTACACATTTATAAACATTAATGAGGTCTCCCCTCAGCCTCCTCTTCTCCAGGCTAAAGAGACCCAGCTCCCTCAGCCTTTCCTCAGAAGGGAGATGCTCCACTCCCTTAATCATCTCGGTGGCTCTGTGCTGGACTCTCTCAAGCAGTTCCCTGTCCTTCCTGAACTGTGGGGCCCAGAACTGGACACAATATTTCAGATGTGGCCTCACCAGGGCAGAGTAGAGGGGGAGGAGAACCTCTCTCGACCTACTAACCATTTCCTAAAACATATGGACAGAATGCTTGTAATTCGCATAGCTGCAGTGCTGTTCTTACTTGTATTAGAATAGATTCCTAGAAATGAGTAAGGAGGTTGTGGCTTTTCATGTGTCTGCTTGAATGGAGTGTATGATTATGCAACCTATGTATCCAAAGAAAATAAACAACAGTAAGCATAATATACAGCCCCTATCCCCCAAATTAATAGTTAAGATAGAGCAAATAGGATAAAATAAGAGCTATCCTGACCATCTATTTGGAAGTGTCTTTGGAGGGTTTAATATTTTCTTTCTTTCCTTTTGTATTTTTGACCAAAGCTGGACCTAGAAATGCTGAAATAGGATCTATTCTTGTAGCACTCCCAGACAGATGAAATTAGGAGATCTCGGCAATCCGTTGAAAGAGCTTCCTGCAGGAAGCTTACACTTCAGAGTCTCTGAATCTTCTAGTCTGGCTGGAAGGTCTGAAATTTGGAAGGGCATCCTTGTCACTCGTACAGAAAAATTAACTCTCTGAAAGGGGACTGTCTCTAATAGAAACTGGGCATTAGGAATTGGAATGTGTACTCGGACTGCAAATGTTTTTCAGCCATTGCCATTCATGTTTTAACTTTCTCCTTCTCTCCCTCCCCCACCCTGTAGTTCATGACAAAAAACCCAAATAAGCGACTCGGCTGTGTGGCGTCACAAAATGGGGAAGATGCTATTAAGCAGCATCCGTTTTTCAAGGAAATTGACTGGGTTCTTCTAGAACAAAGGAAAATCAAGCCACCCTTCAAACCTCGTATTGTAAGTAGCAGTTTGCATAACATTCAGAGGAAACTTGGTTTGACAATTCTAGTTGTTGGCTTTTCTGAGACATGAGATTACTTGATGCAACATTTGGGGGTTGAAACAGTAACATAAAAACCACGCTGAAAAGATTGCCTTGTCATTGTTTCTGTGAAGGTAAGTGTCAGGGAATAGATTTAATGCACAGGAAGATGTTCATGTTCAGTCACATAAACTCTGAGAGGGTTCAAGGCCCTGTTTGAATTATTTTCCTGTGTTCCTCAAGATACTTTGATCAGAAGAGATTATTTCAGTTGGGTATATACTGTCTGTACTTTGTGTGAACTCTGCTACAGTCCTGTGTTGTCCTAGTGAAAGATAGAGGACAGGATTTCTGATTAATAATATTTTAACCGAAGGTACTTGAAAAAACAGCTTCCTGGGGGAAATAAACATACAACATAATTAGATAAATTTATGTACTTACATTTTCCTAGGTGATAGTGAAATATTTCTGTTTTAAAGTAACAAAAATACATAGCAGCCCCACATGGAGAAACTACAAAAGCCAAGCAAAAATACTTTACTTATTCTTGTCTTCCTCTGGATGAAAATATTTATAGTTTACCAAATATCAGCTTTTCAGCTGAGAATGTGTGCAGTAAATTTTTTGCTTAAACAGTAAAAAAATAATTTTATGATAAATCCTTTGAGACTGATTTGCATCTTTTGACTTTGCACATTCCTAGATACAATTCATTGCAGAATTGCTGTCTGTCACATTTAATGCATTTACTTTTAGTCCAGTGAGATGCATTTCCCCAAGTTCCATGTGTAGGTCATGGAAGTGGGGCTGCCTGTCCAGAACAGGAGCCTGAGGTAGCTCCTCTCAGTCCACTCTTGGAGAAGTCACTCTCTCTCTTCTAGCTATGCAGAAAGGGCCCAAAGGCATTGATAACTCTCAGTGGAAGTTAGCCCTTGTGAATGTCTTCCTAGGAGTAATAGTAAGATTCAGTGTAACCCTATGGAGAAGTTTTTCTTAATATATTTCTTGGAGAATGGAAACCTTGTAATGTGGCAGCTACAGGCAGAGGGATGTCTGAGCCAACCCCTCTCCTGGAAAGTGTCCAGCCAGCTGGGCATGCCGGCTCCCTTACCCTGCTGCCCAGTTCTGCTCTGGACGTGTGGCCAGGTTGCAGCTGGCGCCTGAGCTGACTTACAAATCTCTGCACTGATGCAGGAAGTGTAAATCCCAAATTAACCCTAGTTAGTACCTATCTGAAACCCATTTAATACTGTAGCTAACTGCTTTCCAGTCAGGTTCCACAGCCCTGGGATAGTTGCAAACAGCCTTAGTTAGTGTTTAGCCAAGTTGCCTGTGTGTAGCTCTTTTCCCATTGGCACAAGAATTCAGCCTTTCATCTCGCAGTAATTTTTGTTGTTTTGCTCTGTTTTCATCAACCTTTTGGTAAGACAGTTATCTAATCAGGATGCACAATTCCAAAATAATTTTTACTTTATGCCTGCATCTAGTAATTCTCAGATTCCTCACATTTAGTCTGTTAATTGACTGTTTTCCTTTCATGATCAAGATGCAGTTCCTTTGACAATAGGTATTTTTATGAGGCCTTTATTATTTTTGTTTTTTCCTGCTGTGGTGATCCTTCTTAAAAGTCAGAAGGGATTTAGTATGGCAGACATTTTTATTCATTGCTGATATAAATACTTTCTACCTTCTCAGTGCACCTTCTTTCTCTTCCTGGTAAATATTTCACTGCTGTTATATTGTAAAGCCATTCCTATTTTATTCATTCCTGTTGTTTTGTTCTTTTTCTCCTTTTCTGCTTCCTTTAATGGTATTTTAGTTGGATATTTTAGTTTTAGCAGTGATATCAGAATATTAGAGTATTCCTTTGTATAATTTTCAAGACAGCTGCTTGCTCTTTAATAATTGTTAGGTTGATTTTATACATCTTTATTTATACCTTTTCTCATTTTTCTTCCAGCTGCTTCTATAATGTTGGATTTTCATACTACTTCTTTCCATATTGCATATGCCAACTTTCTTTATTCTACCAAATTTGATCCCTGCAGTCTAGTAGTTCTGTGTGCTTGTTTTTTTCTGAACTCTTTTTTTTTTTGTGGTGAATTCAGATAATATCTAGTCTGTGTTACAGGCATCCCTGTTATTTTCATGCTCTCAGTCTGCTCTCTCTTAAGATACCTTCCCCAGTGACCTAGTGCTATCAACTTTTACTGATAACTTTTCTACACTTAGCAAGGGTACACCCTATATATTTACTCTATGTTTATGATCTATCAGGTGTTTTGTACCAGCTATATAAATTTTGCAATTGTTTGGATTTTGTTGTTGTGTAGGTATCTTTGAGCAAGGTCATATGAAATTTTTACTTGTCCTCTTAAAATGGAATTATTTATTTGTTGAGAAGTGTGATACATATCGAGGCTGGAGAGAAAGATCATACAAATAAGATATAATTATTAATTATGCAACTTCAGAAATGGTAAAGGAATCTAGGGCATTAAATTTCAAATACTGAAAAGGTGATATTGGATACTTGCCAAGCTAGAAGAGATTGCACTCACTTTGAAAAATACAGGAAAGAGGGTAGAAGGTGAACACAAATGAAATAAAGTCTACTTTAAAATCTAGATAGAGACTTCCTCTCTAAATTCAGTTGTGGGTGCAGCATTGAGATTTAATGATTCAGAATAACAAGTGTAACTGCTCCATAGCTGTGGAATAACCATGGAAAAAACATAACTAATGCCTGTGTTTGGAATATTTTCTGGTTTTTAACATCTTTCAGTATTGATAAAGGGCTGTTGATGATTTAAAAGTGACTTGTAATGTTAAAAGGAGATTTTAAAAATATATTTTTAATAGTATGTTCAGGAAATCCTAGGTCTGTGAAAATAGCTATGAGAAGAGAGGCCAGATTATTAGTCAGAAAATAGACATTCTTGCATG